ATTGCACTAGGTACATCCAAGTGCACTTTAAGAATTTCCAAAAGAAGAATTTAGAAAGTGTGTAGAAGAATTTAGAAAGCCAAATGATGGTGTCACTTTATGAAGCCATTTACGATTCCACCTACAAAAATGCTAAACCAAAAAAACGCTACAAAAATTATGACCAAAAAAGTCAAAGATGGTTTGCAAGAGTTGAAATCTAATAAGTCTGGTAAGTTTGCCATTGTTGCAGAAAATAAAAGTGACTTAATGCTTTTAAAAAAGTCAAACAAAAAAAAGTTATGTAAAGCAAAACAGAAAGTAATTGATTAGTTAGATTTGATTGAAAAAATGCTTTACAAAAACTAGACAGTAATTTAGATTTGACATTTTTCTTTGATGATATTTTATTGTCATTATTAAAGCCAAATGTTTACTTTAATATTTAAAAAAGCAAGTCTTATGTTTTAGGTTTTGTAAAAAACTAAAAGCCTTAAATGTATATTTATTAGTTTTAGTATGGAGTTTCAAGTGAAATTATTTAAAATCTTTTTGAATGTTTGCTTTCAATTGAAAAAATATTTTGACTTTTAAGAAATTTATGATCCACAAATTTTAAGGAAAAGTTCTGATAGGCCTTAAAAATATTTCATTATTTGAGAAATATTCTGGAAAAATTTTTGGAATTTTATAACAAAATTTTATATACTTGAAAATAGGAAAAGGGTCCCAAAAAGTCCCGGGATTTTAATTTTATTTTTCTGCTGAAACCTTGAGTTACAAGATTTTGATTAAAAGCTGGCAAATTAAATTTATTTATAAAGTTCAAAATCTTGCAATTACTTAAAGTTGAAAAAAAATCCTTTTTTAAAAGCGTGCTTCTTTTCTTTACACTTTTGAACTCACGCGATGAGGTACTTTCAAATCTTAATAATCTGTCAATATCTGATTAATTAGTAATAAGATCGAAAACTTTATTTTATTTGATAACTTCTGTTGTAAAGGATGAATCTTATGTTATTTTTGAATTAGTAAAGTAACTTTTAAAGTCAGGTAATTTATTTTATTTTTATTATAATTAAAATTTATTTTTATTATAATTAATAATATTATAATTAAAAGTTCAGTCATTTTCTTCAGGGATATTATGTTAGTACATCAGGAAAATTTATCTACCTCTTTATTAGTTTATAGACCATTTTTTAAATAGAAACCACTGCTTAATTACATCTGGAGACAAAGTTCCACTGCCATTATTACAAACCTTGCTCCTCAATTTGAAGAAAAATTTCCATCAACTTTTTAAATAAGATCGCCCCCTTACCCTCTTTAAATTTGAACAATAACTTCCATCACCTCCTATCATTCCCATTCTACTTTGCATTAAAAATCTGAGAGTTCTATTGGTTATGACAGTTTAGATTAAAAAAAAAAGAAATCACAAATATTATCTGAAATATTTTTTCAGAATAGGCATTACTATTTGAGTAAGTTTTATTTTTATTTGGAGTTGATATAAATTGGATGAACACATTTACTTATAATTAATATTAACTTTTTATTATCTTTGTAACAATTCTTTGTAACAATAAATCGTTGTTTGTGTAAATTAATTTATGGCACAAAATTTTACCAATATTCTATTTTATTCCTAATGTCTAATTGTAAAAGAAATGTTTAGCTTATTTATAAATCTTTAAAGTTTGAAACTTAAAAAACAAATATAATCTTCATATTAATAACAACCTTAATGTCTGTCAAAAAAAAGACTAGATTTGTTACTTAGCATGGTCCTTATCTCTGGAACAAATTGGTATTACCAAATTTAGTTTTTTTTTTATCAACATATGCTTTATTAAAATAGAAATTAAAAAAAAAAAGAAGTGAGGCTTATTGTAAAAAGACTTTTGGTAGGTCTAAGTTTTTCACATACTATTTTTTTAACTATTAACTAATTATCATGTCTTAAAACAATATATATGAATATTTAACAGTATTTTGATTTTAGTCATAAAAAATTATATAAATCAAAAGTACGCTAGTTATCCTCCATTTAAAATTTTGACTTGACTATCAACATAAAACAATTTGAATTATAACAATGTACAAAGAACATTTTGATACAAAAGTTATTTTATTATTTTTCCTTATTTGCAATAACTTTAAATGTTAAAGATTTTATAACTTAAGTATTTTAAAATTAAATTACCTTTAACTAATTTTGTCAAGTTGATTTTTAATTTGAAGGTTTTCATGTCTGACCACTTAGTTAATGATTTAAAAGATAAACATCTGACAGATGTTTAACTAATAAAATCATTTCTAAAAGTACAGTGTAAGTAGCTAAGCTCAAAATCACTAAAAAGAAAAACAATTTTAACATATTAGTTTTCAACTTTAAAAACAATGCAATTTTCCATTAGAAAAATTAGTTAAAACAAATATAAATTATGTTCAAGCACATCACTAAACCTAACTTTTTCAGTTAAATTTTCCTGCTTGAGCAGTTTACATACATTCTCAATCAGATTTAAATCCAGATGATTTCTGGGATAATCAAAGACATCAATCTTTTTTCCTTTTAAAAACTTTGTACTGGTTTTCACCTTGTGACATGATGTCCGATCATACATAAAAATGTATTTTTTATATTTGGGAACCATTGTGCTATTAGTCCATCACTAATTATCTCTTGATCTTGTCTTATTGTCCCATTTACTATGTGCAGCCTTCCAGTACCTCAAAATTTAATTACAAATCACACCATGACATGTAGGATACATCATTATACATCATTATAAATACAGATTTTATTGGAGATATATATTTTTGTATTTATAAAGATGTAGTTATACATCATTATAAATACAGATGTTGTTGGACAAATGTTAGCAGGCGTAGCAAAAACTGATGTTGTATCATTGGTCCATTAATTTTATTAAATTAATAATAAAAACTATAGTATCATATTTGTATTAATCTTAAAAATAAATTAAATCAAGTTATTTAGTCCAAACATACATTATATAAGATTAAGAATAATTATAATTAATTAGTTATATGCAATGATATATTAAGAAAAATTTTTATCCTTTAACAAATTTTATTATTTATCTAATAGTTATTCCTAATATATCATCGGTTATATGAGATCTGAGATAAGATCCCTGTTTTGATTGGACAAAAAACTAGTTTCAAACAGTCCTCAATCTAAAATATATATCTCCAATATATCATATGCGCTTTACTAATATTTCATATACAACTCCTAAAATCCGGCTGCGACTTTACAAACCCACTATAACCCACTATAATCGAATATACTTAAGTATTTTTGCGCTAACCTTTTTGGAAAAATTTGACATGGTATTTCATTATTCTTTCACTGTAATTTAAGATAAACTCGTTTAATGATTCAATACGATACTGATTTAATCATACAAATAATAATGAAACTATACAAGACAATTATATTGCACATTAAATAAAATAGTAAGCAACGGAGTCCAATTTTTAATAAATAAATACAAAATCTATTAACAATTTTAAATAAATAAACACAAACTAATGAGCAAAAAGTAAACAAAATCGAACTATTTTTCTTTATTTTTATGTTTAACGCCGAATATTTTTCTTATATTCCAATTTTGCGGATTTGCCTCTCTTTCAAAATAAGCGAATCAGATTGGCCAATTTTAATGGCTATTCTGTGCTTATAGTGGGTTTGTAAAGTCGCAGCCGGATTGCGA